TAAAGGGGTGAGTTTAATGGCATCTTCATCTGTATATAGTAAGGTAAGGGGAGGCCTAAGTGGGACTTCTGTAAATTAACAGTGTTGAAATCATGAAGCTTGATTTTTCAGTTTGTTGATTTTTCACTTAATCATGAAGCTTGATTAAGTGGGCACTATTGTAAATTAAGAGTAGAGGAAAAGAACAAGAAAAAAAAAAATGCACCCAATTTTGGTTGAAATCTATTATTGAATGCTATCTTAGGAGAATCTATTTTCTGACATTAATTTTCAAGTAAGCTTTTATTGAACACAAAAATTGTTGCCCATTACAAAAAAGACAATCTTTAGCAAAAAATATCAAAAGATTAACCTTCAATTTAATTTTTCTGAACACAGTATTGTGGCCCATTAAAAAAAGACACAATCTTTAGCAAGAATTTGCAACAAGTTAAGCTTTAATTAGGTTTTACTGAACACAAAATTGTAGCCCATCACAAAATGGCATGACCTTTGGCAAAATTTTCAACAGAGTAAGTTTTGCTGAAAACACAAAGAGTGTGTTTGATAAAGTAGCATAAGTTAACTTGTATCTTATTCTATGCAAAAGTTTGATTTGATAAGATGAAATTTTTGTAAAAGGTCAAGCTTATATCAAGATATTTTTTAACCTAATGTTTTACATTGAGATTTTTGTTTCAACTACAAACACTTTTATTATATCGCCTGATTTTTTAGTTATCATAAATAAATATCAATTGTCAACTCGAAATTAATTTATTAGTTATCAATTAACTTATCAACTATTAACTAGTTCATCATTACATTTACCCAACTTACCCAAAGACAAGGAAGAAAAAACAACTCCTTGGTGTTTATATTCGTACGCAATTGTTTTCTTTTAATTAGTTTCGTGCTGAAACAGATTGTACCCTCTCCTAGTAGTCAAATTGATTCGGAGGTACAATGACAATAAGCATTGTTACCAAAAAAAAAAAAATAATAATATTGCCACAATTTTTGGTAACTTATATTGGAAAATTAGATATCCAATGCAATAAAACGAATGTGGAAAACCAAAATTTGTAACAGATCTCAAATTTTTATCGTTGGATCAATATACCACATATAAAATATGTATATGTAATCCTAACGGTAAAATACTCAGTTGAGAGCTCATTTGAAAGAATAAAATTAAAAAAAAAAAATCTGCCATAAATTTTGCCATCACAAATACAAAAAGACATTTAACAGAAATAAATATACACAATGCATCTTAATAAATCTAATTTTTTGTTCATGTGTGCATAATAATGTTTAGTATTGCAAAATTTTCAAACTACTACACAAGCTGGTTAACTGTATATACTAAAAACACAATCTGAATACACATAAAACTTGAGACAAGCTATATTTATAAAACTTGCCCAAGCATTAAAAAAACTTAACACACACTAATTCTAAACCTCATTATGCATCTCTCAAGGAAAGCAAAAAAAGCTCATTTTTTTCTCATTCTAGGCATAGATTATTAGCCCATAAATTCATCTTCATCATCACTTTACATATTATTAGTCATTTAGTCATATAATGTCCTGGATCGTCTTCGTGACCTGTCCGATTTTACCTGGCACGCCCTAACAAAAGATACAACCGACATGAATGAAAAAAATGAGATCACAAGTAGAAGGTCCGAATTTGCAGATACAAAATATGCGAATTTTCCCACCTGATAATCAATTTTATTGTTTATATTTAATTATCTCATTAGATTTAGAGAATCCATTTAAGTTCCCAAAAAGTAAGTGGATAGTTTTAAGTCAGGTAAAATTTAAAAGACAGGTTAATAAGAAATTCGATAAATAAGCTCACCGTTGATGGCTTTTGAGCAGTAATCCTACGATTTGCGGGTGCACGAGCAACCGATGAAGCTGCAGCTGCCGCAACCACTCGTATCCTGCAATTTTCACCAAGCAATTCATTTTTAAGAAGTCTTCGTTTTTTTTCAGAAAAAAGGACAAAAAGAAATAATCTTTCTGAGAAAAAAAGGAAGAGAAATTAATCAATTATAGCACCTTTTATGTACATCAACATACACGTCTGTCTCGTCAACAATTTCCTCCTGTATCAAAAGACATGGTAAGTAATACGAATTTTATTTACCCATTAAGTTTGCATAATTACAATCATACCTATAACTATTCATCATAATCACGAATAACTCCATCTATTGTATATTACTTGCAAATTGCACCATGTATAGGAGAAAAGTTTAGAACAATTACCAATCTTAGCATTTTTGAGTAACTTTAGAAGAAGAACGTGGCTTTTTGTGATACAAAACTCCATAGAAAAGCTTTGACATTTTTAGTTTATATGGTCTATATTTTCGGCTTTAAGAATCTTTTTGGTTATTTTAGCTTCTCTGATGTTAACTATTTTTAGTACTTTCTATTTTGCCTCAAAAAGCTCTAACTGAAAACTGCACAAAAAGAACAANAAAAACCTGCAGAAGTTCTTCGAAAACATCTTCCAAAGTGATTATCCCGATAACATCTCCATCTTCAACCTCCTCCACCGCATGATTCGAACCGTTTGGCATAAAACCATTTTGCGGAGACTTATCAATATCAATCACAGCACTATTTAAGTGCCCATTAGATTTTTCCAGCAATGGGGCAGTCAATTTCGAGTCCCTACCAATAAAAGTTTTCTCTTCACGGTTGTAAGAAAAAGGAAGCTTTTTCTCTTTCTCTTTCTCTCTCAATCTAACAACAGCTGCCATGTGGCTACTTCCTTTCTGAAACTCGTTTAAGATATCGTACAGAGGCATATCCGCAGGTACTCTATTAACACACCCGATTAATTTCATGAGCAAATTAATACCTTTTTTTTTCTCATCCCATATGTTACAGAAATATTAACGGCGGCTTTGAAGTTTTGAATATAACTAGATTTTATGTATATCATATTTCATATGATACCTAGGCATTCTCCGAATGGAAACAGAGCTAACAGGAGTTTCGGTTTCAGCTCTTACAGTGAGGAGACTTTTGACCTGCAAAACAAGGGTCATAAGATCATTTCGAAAGTCGAATACAAATTTTATGTTGATTTTAAGAAAGTCTAAGCAGACCAGTAGAAGTCCAATGATGTTCTTTGGGTGTCCCGAATAGACAGGAATTCGACTATGGCCTCGTGCAAGAATTTTCCCAATAGCTTCCCTGCATAGCATTTCAATAAGAAGTCATTTAAAATTTTACATCTTAGTAGTTTTCGTTCTATCTCTC